CTTACCTTGGGGGGTTATATAAACGTGATGTCACTTTGCTATCAAGAAAGTTACAGCATCTCTTTAAAGTTTTTCTGGGTGAGACCCCGTCAGGTTATTATTGGTGCATCTGCCTCCGCTGGGGAGATTCGCTCCCTCTTATTGACCACAGAAAGCATAGCTCCCAACTGTCCCTGATTTGGAGGGGCTGTCCCCCTATTGGAACAAAATCCCTCGGTCCCTCATTCCTTCTTAGTTGTCCCTCTAGGTCAGGGGCGGCAACTTCGGTCCTCCAGCTGTTGTGGAACTACAAGTCTGCTGAGGCATTGCAGGACTCTGACAGCCACAGGCATTAATCCCAGAGGCATGATGGGCTTTGTAGTTAAAGCACAGCTGGAGGCCCAGAGTTGCCCACCCCTGTTTTAGGTGGTCTGACGTGCACGTGCAATTGATCAAAACTGTCATCGTGCACTAAAACTGGGACAAGATCATAATAATAGTGATTGCTTCATAACTACACCAATCACAGAGGGTCTTATTAAAAAATTTTTTAAATCCATCAAAGTACTCCCGTGGGAGTGAGATCTGGTTGCTATCATTGCACCACATTGCACATACTCAGCATTCTTTTATTCTGCTTCACTAAAGTGATCCAGTTCAACTGGACCAGAAACCAAAGCCTGGTCCCTCCATAAAAATATATCCAAACCCAACAACAAAAATGTCATCTAGTGCAGATTACCAGTCCTCAGATGTGGCAGCTGCATTCGTTTTCATTTTTTCAGGCTGAGAACATTTTCTGCAAACACATAAAATACCTGTTGATCCTACCAGAAATCCGGTGTCCTTTTAACTTCATGTGCACTAAACTGATATCTCAAACAAGGTTATCAACCTCTTTCAAAGTTATGAAGATGAGGACAAGGGGAGGTGTCCTGTAGTCCAGTCCTAAGGGTGACAATGCTGCTCCTCCATAGATACAGTACAGCGAGTGAGCGTTGCCATATTGGGACAGGAAGTGTGTTACTGGCAGGATTACCAGATGAAAATAAAGGAAGAAAGCCTGAACAAATCAAAACTAATGCAGACACCGCATCGAAGGACTGGTAAGCTACAATATACAATAACATTTTTGTTCTTGGGTTTCGATGTGTTGTAACACTTCTCACAAATAATACACAGCATACTCCACTATCTGTATGCAGGGAAACCGGGCCTAGTAATGCTTATATATTGCCACAATCAATTAGGGCTTCCAGCGACCGTCTGCTGGGATCACGTCGTGTCCCCCTGTGTATGCAGCATCTCATCTGAAGCAGGGGCCGGTATCACTATCATTTCCCGAATCCTGCAGGGCAGGCCTCTAAAACTCCATCGTGTCCCTGTATAGTGCATACGTAGAGCGTTCACAACCCCGGGTACCACTCCCAGACCCCCCAAATCTCTATGTGTATTGTCCCCCATACCACCCAAAACAAACAGGCCTGACATCACTGCCCCTTATAGAGGGCCGGCGTACCATCTACACTACATCGGCATCCCTACATGTGCGACATCAACATCCCCCACATAACAGGGGGTCCCCCAATAAAATGCACATTGCATCCT